GGGGGGGGTTGCGAGTGGGCGCCTGGATGAGAGTGGGAAAGAGAAAGAGGAGGAAGTCGTCGAGGGGTGAGGGTGAGGGTTAGGGTGAGGGTGAGGGTGAGGGTGAGGGTGAGGGTGAGGGTGAGGGTTAGGGTGAGGGTGAGGGTGAGGGTGAGGGCTAGGGTGAGGGTGAGGGTTAGGGTGAGGGCGAGGGTGAGGGTGAGGGTGAGGGTGAGGGTGAGGCCAGGCTGAGCTGAGCTGAGCTGAGCTGAATTGTCAAGGGACGAATGAGCGGCCGCTACGCTGGAGCTCACGTTGAGCTTGCAAGGCGTCGTCGCAGGATGGAAAGAATCTTTTGAAAGCGGGGGAAAAAAGCCGAGGAGTTGCGTGGGAGTGATGCGGAACATTCACGATTCAAGTCCTTGAGTCAGAGTCAAGTGTGAGTCAGAGTGTGGAGAAGTGGACAGGTGTCACGAGTCGTGAGTGTGAGTGGCAGGCAACCCTTTGATGCCGCCGCGTTGTTGCGAATCGGGTGCATGGATGATGATGTTGCTGGTCCCCCTGGGCGCATCACGTGATGCATATGTGCGGGTGCAGCCACAAGGATGTGATCACGTGTTACGTGTCAAAGTGGCCTACGAACCCCACGATCAGTCACAGTCACGATCAGTTCTTGAGTCAGGAGTCCGAGTGCATCAAACAGACCATCCACATGCTGTGCATCGTTACCTCACCAGTCGAGAGTTGAGAGTTGAGAGTCGAAAGTCGAGAGTCGAGAGCATAGCTTTCGTCGAGATGCGGACTACTTGAAGAGCCATACCATACACTGCCAAGTGCGCAGATTCGCTGAATGTTCAATCAAGATTCACGATTTGAAACAGCCAGTCTGCAGCTCGATCGATCGATCGATCGATCGACGTGCAGTCGTGATATGTTACGCGAGACGAACAAGCGAAAAGTCTGATGATTGGATGGCCGAATGTGGACTCCCGCGGCTGATTGGAGACTTACGATTACCGGCTTACATGAATGACAGCCTACACTCACACTGTGACTCGTAACTCGTGTCGAGTCGAGAGGATGGATTTGACGATGGCATTGCATTCATGTTCTCACATTCGGAAGGCGATGAAGCACGACTTGGACGTCCTGCTGCGTGGCCAAAGCGTGCGCGTGGCAGATATAGAAGGATGAGATTACGCTTCGAAGGCAATTCTCCGAGACGAGTTTCACGAAGCATGTGATTGCCTGCCCTGGCTATACCCTGCCGTCGACGCGCTCGAACATCAAGCGGTGTTGATGTCGAGCACAAAGTTGAGGTTTGATTCGACATGTATGAGATGCATGCTGACTGACACCAAGCCGTCCGCCCCGTCCAAACGTTCCACCACGAGGACTTCGAATCACGTCGTGCGCTCGATCACCACGCTGTTACCGAAAGCGCTGCCAGCATTTTCGTGACGTGACTTGAAAAATCGCACCGAGCCCGTGGTATGGTACTTGCTTTCGACTGCAGGAAATGGGGGGGCACGTCTGGCTGTTGCCGTTGACTTTGTGACGTGTATTGCCTTGATCGTCGGCGACGGCGACACAGCAGGCGTGGCGTGCACTGCGATGCGTCAGGAGAGCTTGAACAGTCGTGCTCTTCTCGCAGGCAGGGTTCATGCCCTCGAAATGCCGTGCAGCAGCTGCCAGCTATAGCAGACGGAGCTGGGTGTGACAGGCTCATATCAAGCGCCGTTCGGCAAGACGGCAAGTTCACGAATCTTGGATGCGCACGCAGGCGGATCCGGGGAGCTTGATTGCGTGGCTTACAGTAAATGAAGCCAATTTGGCAGCCGCGTAGATAGACTCTGAGCCACATCTCCCCCTTTCCCCCGTCCACTTTCATCTGCAGGTTTGATTGCACCCTCGAGATTGACTACGATCTACGACTAGGGGTTTAGGGGCATGTCCCACCGGTCGATCGCTCGGTTCGTGACCATGATCGTCATCACAATGTTGGAATGCGCATTCACGACTGCAACCGGTGCATGCGTGAGAGAGCGCATATGCCACGAACCATGGCAGATTGGCAGGATGCAATTCAAGTCTACAGCAACAGACTCTGATTGGTTGATTTGATTTTTTTTTGTCCACGGCGATGCCAAACCCGCGGTGTAGCTGCATACATGCCTGACTGAAACATGTGACCTCGTGTGCATACAGATGCACACATGCGGTCGTCGCTCGGCTAGCTTGTCATCAATTTGTTCCGAATCATTCAATTGTGTGATTTGTCACGAGCGCCTTTGGGTGTTTGGGGCGCGATGAGTAAGCAGAGTCACGAGTGCAATCCGCATCGTCGTGCTTTGCTGTCTCGCAGCGCCAGGTAGGTCGCAGAAGCAAAGTTTCGAGTCTCGGCTCTTGCGGACAACGTACGTGCTTCGGGACCGAGGAAATGCAAAAGAGAACATCTGAGCGTGTAGATTGCGGACTCGGGATGACAAAGGTATCGAAGCGCTTTCAATAAAGCCTGTATTGGATCGCCCTTTGCGGAAGATTTGACGTCAATCTCGTCTCAATCCAATTCATTTAGCCCTTTCAATCTGAAATCGTCGTGTCAAATCAGCCCTTCAAATCGCCCTGGAAATGCTCACCCGCTCTCGCGCCACTACGCAGTGCGAATGATTGGGGAATGATCGAAGCATCTAATGAGCATCTTCCACGATCAGACATCGGTAACTCGCAGTGCGGCTCCGTCGTTCGGCACTCTATCGACCCAACCAAAAAAAAACTCAAAGACGAGCCGAACACCTTGCGATCATGACGACCGCTGCGATTCACATTTCGAGGGTGCAATGTGCGTCGATGCATATGCGCACCCGGTGTAGCAAAGCTGGGCTTGTCGATTCGAAATCCAGCTGTGAGGCCTTGAGATGCTCAATTGTGAGACTCGAAATGTTTGTGCACGCGCAACTTGATGATCTGCGACATCTTTTCGAACTTCAAGCCACTACTTTAGCAGCTAAGGAAGAATGTCAAACGCCCAACTCCAGAGTGATGAGCTATAAAAGCGAGCACCGAAAGTGGGCCTCTCCGCCGCACAAGTGTCACACAGGTCATTCGCTGCGCATCACCGACACCTTTTCCCAAATACTTCATCGACTGCCCACATCATCATGTTGTCGCTGTTCAAAGCTTTTCTCCTCTTTGGCCTGCTCATGTTCGCAACACAAGAGCTGAAGCCGGTGCAATGCGTGCCGTCGTCTTCCTCCACAGATATGATTCGCCTCGACGGTGAGCATTTCAAGGGGGCGTGTGCAATGGACTTGTCTGACCGACTTTCGATACATTACATCTCCTCACAGGCCGTCACTACTTTCTCCACAAGGCCCCTCCCACGTTCTGCTTTACGTGCGGCTGCCCCAGACCGCCTTGCAACCGAGGCGAAGTTCATCAAAGCGTTCTTGGCTCGAACCTTGACGAGCGCACCAAGGATTCGCACATCATCCATTCCCGCGCCCTCATGACCGATCCAGAAGAAGCAATCGTCGATGCGAGAGAAATTTTGGAAAAATCAGTGCAATACGAAAATGAAGCACTTTCTGACAGTTTGCTTGCCATTCGTCAAGAGGAGCAGCCTCCTTGCTACAAGTGCGGATGTCCGACTCCTCCTTGCTCACCATCCACCGCCAAAAGCATCACGCTCCTCGACACGACTCTACGCACTGTGCAAGGTACCAGCGACCAGCTTGTCCAGCTCCAAGGAGAGTTTCTGAAGCGGAACCTAGAGAACAAAGGCTCTGTTGACGGTCCCTCGGCTCGTACGAGGGACGTACGTCCACTCGAGGCCTGAAAAGGTCCGCTCCGCCATGATCATCCGAGCGTTCGCTTTCTGCGTAGATATTCAAAGCCAGTGTAATGCTTTTGGCAACCTTCAACAGTGGTGCACAGGCATTCCTGATCCGTCCATTTCAAGCCTTCGAGAAGAAATTTCCGCGTCAAATCGCTTGCTAGCTGAATCATCCAGCGCACTACCCCACCTTCCTGGCGAGCAGACGCGTGCCCATCGTCAACCCCCCGCACTCTCACTACCCCAGCTTCACAA